TTCCCATCACGGTGTCAGCTGTCCACTCACACCAGGACCTTTCTGCCTAGTTCATAGCCTGACACGGCCAGGTCTTCCCATCACCATGTCAGCTGCCCACTCACACCAGGACCTTTCTGCCTAGTTCATAGCTTGACATGGCCAGGTCTTCCCATCACGGTGTCAGCTGTCCACCCATGCCAGCGCCTTTCTGCCTAGTTCATAGCCTGACACGGCCAGGTCTTCCCATCACCATGTCAGCTGTCCACCCACGCCAGCGCCTTTCTGCCTAGTTCATAGCCTGATACTGCCAGGTCTTCCCGTCACCATATCAGCTGCCCACTCACACCAGGACCTTTCTACCTAGTTCATAGCCTGGTACCGCCAGGTCTTCCCATCACCATGTCACCTGTCCACCCACACCACACCTTTCGGCCAAGTGCCCCTACTTTTCCTTCTGTTTCTCTCCCTCTCTGGCTCTGGCTCCTCTCTCTCCCTGTCTTTGTCTCTCTCTCATGTGACTCTCCCATGTTTGACTCCTCCAATACTTAGAAACCCACACTGGCAGTGGGACCTGCTGCAGGTCTGGATACCCCGACCTCCCCGCCACACCACTCGACCTATGCCAAGGCAAGGCTGAGGCCGTGACCCTGCACCTGCCCGTCCTCAGCTCAGCCTGGCCCTTCCTGCTGGCTCAAACACAGGTAAGTCCAGGGAGGGCACAGCTCCTCCCAGGGAGAGGGGTGCCCATGCTGTCACTTTTTTCTAAGTCATTTCAATCGTGTTTGCCAAATCCACTGCAAAATTCTGCCCTTGTGTCTGACAGTCAGAAGAGCAGGAGAGAGAGCTTGCAAAGGTCGTGTCTCATACAGCCCTGGCATCGGGGGTAGGGGACAGAGACCCATGACCCATGGAGCTGCTTCTCCACAAGGCCCCCAGCTGCACCTCAGCCTATGTATGCGGAGGGGCACCCTCGGCCGCAGCCTCCTCTGCACCACAGGAGGCAGACAGTGAGTGCTGCCTGCTTTGACCTGTCTCCCTTTCCCCCCAGCAGAAACCCTGCTAATCCTTTTTTAAAAAAGGGAGAGAGATTCATTTGTAGAAAAACTTTTTACAATTTATTGCCTGTTATTAACCTTTAAAGTATAAAAATGAGGCTCTAGCTAAATGCAGGGTTTCAGTGGTGAAATTTTGACCATGTGAACAAATAAATAAATATTTACAGTCTTTGGCAAAACACATGAAGTTTCATTAACCTATATGAGAAATTTGTTTTAAAAAACATAAATAACTTACAAAAAATATCTTACATTCTAAATATTCACATCATCATTCCCACAGCGTCGTGCGGTTTGACCCAACAATACTTACGCGGAAACCTACACCTCCATAACAGCTGGTACATTTAATGAAGCCTCCCAACCCTTTGCTGGTCTTGGGAATATGGTTCCACACCAAAAAAGTAGAGAAAGTGCAACAAACCAAAACCAAAATGAAAATCAACCTCAAAGGAAAAATAATTTTATCAAAATGAAATGTGTAAATTAAGACAGAAGCTACACAGCCTCCCTATTTATCACAGGCATGCGACCCCTCCTCACAGGAGGAGAAAGCCCTGCCCCGTGAGGCCACGCCCCCATGAGGCCACGCCCCTCATGAGGCCCGTCACGTGGAGTAGGGTGAGCTACTTTTCCTGCAGAAAGACCATGCAAGGTAGAGCAGAAAGCAGGTCTGCGTGTGTGCATTCCTGTATTACTGACTGATTACTGGGTATGTCTGGGAAGTCTACGTGCTGATTTTTCTTCAGCGTTCAAACAAAAATAATTCTATATACAGCAGATAGATAACAGTGAAAATACGAATCAAAATCACTGGCAACATTATATATTAGGGCTCCACTACCTACTCTTCATTATTATTTATTTATTCTACTGCATTTTACAGCATGCTGTACCATGACAATGTAACACTACAAAGCCTTACAGTGGGATGGGCAGGCAATTTGCTGTAACTGCATCTTTGTATAATTATATACTTGGTATATGTTTATTCTAGAAATTACACTACAGACATGTTACCTGCATATTGAAAATAAGTTAGTGGTGAATGGAGATTCATCCTGTACTCATTTAATAAATATTAACAGAACATTTATAACTGGAAACTTAATGAAATATGTTATCAAATTAAGTAATCTTTTCCACAATGTCCAAAGTTTAGAATAGCAGTGAGGTGCCAAAGTGCATTTTCTGCTTGTGGGCCTATTTCTCTACTCTCTACAAGCAGAGATCAGGAAGGGGGCACTCACAAAGCACTAGAGAGCTGAAGGCAAAGCCCAGCAACCCTGGCCAGGCTCTGTCCCCATGCCCCACCAGCCAACTGGAGTTAGGAAGCCGGAACTTGGAATCCAGAGAGCACTTTGCTCTGTAGAACTGTGACTTAAACTAAGTTTTGCCAAACCCACATGAGGGGCCACACAACATCCATTTTGCAAGGACGTTCACTCTTTCACAAAAACTGCCTCTCTGCAAAACGCGAGGGCTTTCATTGGAGGGCAAGAGAACAGGGCAAGGGTATTTGTTTATTTTAGCAATTATTTTCTATGTTTTATCTGGTTAATTAAAGTGTCACATCATTTGCTATCAGGCCACTGTCTCACATGCCTGCTGCCCTCTGACCTCTCCTGCACTGTGGAGTGTCCTCAACTGCAAGGTGACACTTCTTCACAACTGACCGGCATGCCTGACCTGTGTGTCCTACAGAGCGTCTAATGCCAGAACAGTGACAGCTGTGAGCACTGAAAGTAGCTTAGCAGTATTTTTCATGCTTAATTTATGTTAACGGCTTATGCACAATATTCCCTTCAATTCCATATACACATAAATATAAGAAGTAATTACATTTTATATGTAAACGTCATTCTTTTTAAACAAACAAGAAAAAGCGATGTGATGGTTGCCCAATTGTCACTCCATACAAAGTCACACATATCAAATTGGTTTCCTATGATGGGTTAGATGTCCACCAGGTGTGTCTTCTAAAGGCACTTGGGTTTAGGTTGATGATAGGAGTAGGACCATCAGAACTCAGGCCAAGTAGCAGGAGGGCTGCTAAAGAGAGGGAAGCTGCAAGGGCCTTGCTGAGCTGAGGGGTCAGCTCTGGGGCATGTGGAGGGCTCTACTGCAAATGCAGCAAATCTTATTTAGACATCTAAAAAAAAACAAATAAACATAATTAGGATGATTGGACTGTGGGTTTTGTTTTATCTATAACATAAAATATCATCATGTTAATTAAAAATGACATTTACAATATATATGGATGAATAGATGGACTTATGGCAGGAAGGGAGGAAGGTAGGTTGGAAGGGAGGAAAGGAGGGAGGGAGGGAGGAAGGGAGGAAGGAAGGAAGGAAGGAAGGAAGATTGGTTGGTTGGTTGGTTGGTTGGAAGGGAGAAAGGAAGGAAGGAAAGAAGAAAGGAAGGAAGGTAGGTTGGAAGGGAGGAAGGAAGGAAGGAAGGAAAGAAGGAAGGAAAGAAGGAAGGAAGGTCAGTTGGAAGGGAGGAAGGAAGGAAGGAAGGTTGATTGGTTGGAAGGGAGGAAGGAAGGTTGGAAGGGAGAAAGGAAGGAAGGAAGGTTGGTTGGAAGGGAGGAAGGAAGGAAGGAAGGAAGGTTGGTTGGAAGGGAGGAAGGAAGGTTGGAAAGGAGGAAGGAAGGTTGGTTGGAAGGGAGGAAGGAAGGTTGGAAAGGAGGAAGGAAGGAAGGAAGGTTGGTTGGAAGGGAGGAAGGAAGGAAGGAAGGTTGGTTGGAAGGGAGGAAGGAAGGTTGGAAGGGAGGAGGGAAGGAAGGAAGGAAGGAAGGCAGGAAGGTTGGTTGGTTGGAAGGGAAGAAGGAAGGTTGGAAGGAAGGAAGGAAGATTTGAAGGGAGAAAGAAAGGAAGGTAGGTTGGTTGGAAGGGAGGAAGGAAGGTTGGAAGAGAGGAAGGAAGGAAGGTTGGTTGGAAGGGAAGAAGGAAGGTTGGAAAGAAGGAAGGTAGGTTGGTTGGTTGGAAAGGAGGAAGGATATATGGTTGGAAGGAAGGATAGATGGACAGTTGGAAGAAAGGAAGAATAAATGGATATGTGGATAGATGAAAGGATGAGGAGTGGACATGAAGGGATAGGTGGACAGTAGAGTAGATGGATGGATGGATGGAAACATGCAGTGTCTCAAAAGCCAAGCTAACATAAGGACAAGAAAACGTCACCAGAAGCAAGCAAAGAAATAAAGGTTCTTGTCTTCCTTTCATCTCCTTACTTTATGTGTGAGTATTGAGAAGTCCTTCTAAGCCTTACCTACCTCATCTAGGGGGCTGTTTCGTGTCCACCTGAATGGGTGGCATTAGACCAGAGGGGACTCCAGGTCCATCTCAGGTCCACAATAATTGGGCTCCAAGCCACTGCAGAGACCTGGCTGCAAAGGATCTTTCCTCCCCCTTCCTTCATTTCTTCCTTCCTCCTTCAATTTTCAGTGAGGTAGCAAACCAAAATGCCACCAGGAGCCAGAAGGCATAGAAAATGCAGAAGCTACAGGATATAGAACCATGTGGACTGATGGGGCCTGTGAATAACCAGAATGCCTCTGTCCTGCCAATGGTGTCCAAACGCAGCTTAGAACAAAGAACAAACAACCCAAGCTGACCAAAAGAGCATCTGTGAGGCACTGGGGAAGACAGCACCTGTCCTGTGCTCTGCAGGTGCACCGTGGAGGCTCAGCTCCTATGAGGCGACCTGCGCTCCTGCCCCATCCCGAGGCCCTGGGCAACACTCACCTCTGCACTCGTACTTGAGGTCGGAGAAATAGACCATTTCCTGGGAGAAGACAAACAGGCCCAGCCGGCCGCCTGCATAGGTCTGGTCATAGAGTGGTCCTGAGTCAGCCATGACCTGCTTCCCTTCATGCACTAAGACCCTAAAAATGGTTTTTGAAAAGGAGAGAGAAAGCAATGAACCCTGGGAGGCCCCCAGCAGAGGCCAGAGCCCAACTCCTGGCCAGGGACACAAGGGAGACTGCACCACTGCCCAGGTGACACCTGCTTCCCCTCATAAGCTCTGGCTGCCACTGTGCCACATGCACCAGCCCAGAGCACTGCCACTGCCACCCTGCCTGCACCTACTCACAGCCCCCAGCAAGGGCTTTAGAGTAGTCCTCTTTACAAGCTGAAGAACAGCTTGGTTGCCTGAGGAGCATCTCCTGGTCACCCTCAGGGGGAACCAGGGACCCTCCCACTGCCTGGGGGCAGCAGTGGGCCCTCCTCTGAGGAAACCACATGTGGGCCTGAGCAGCTCTGCCCTTCACACCCTGGGCAGGGAGGCTGGGATGCTGCCTCTAGGCCCTGGGCAGGGAGGCTGGGATGCTCCCTCCACAGCATGAGCAAGGAGGCTGGGATGCTCCCTCTAGGCCCTGGGCAGGGAGGCTGGGATGCTCCCTCCACGGCATGGGCAGAGAGACCAGGATATGCTAAAGCATCCACAAGTGAACAGAGGACACTCCCTGGAAACATTGCGGCCCCACACCCAGCCTGCTGCCACCCACTGGTCAGTTCACTAGCTGAGCACATGCCCAGCATCTGTGAGACTCCAGCCAGACCTTGGTTCTTATCAACTTTGCAAAACCAAACCAAAACAAAAACTCTCAATTGCTAAGCCAAGGGCGCAAAATTCTGCTGAACTGGTATTTGTAAAAGTTGTATTCAAATATGTGCCAGTCACACATCAAAAATAAATATGAACCCATTCTCCAAACGAAGCCCAAGCTAACTGCAGAAACACAGCTATCTCCCTCGCATGTTCCGTCCCACGCCGAGAGTCTTCACAGGAGAAAAGATGCTTATCATCCTCCAAGTTGTTTTTACAAGCCTCATCTTATTTTTTTCTTTTTGGCTTTTCCTTTTAAAAAATAATTTATAATAGAGACACAGATAGAAAATAGAAAATATTTAAAGCTGAAGAATCCAGAGAAAAAGATAGGAAATGGAATTCACTGTGGGTTATTTGCTTATTAATGGGCAACTTGCCGTCAGAGGGGTCACGAGGCTTCCGGCCTCACCTGATATAGCCCGTCTTGGGCCTGTGGGTCAGGTGCCACCTGTAGGCCGTGTAGTCCTTCCAGCCAATGTTCTTGGGGTCATGCCACAAGGTTCGCACCTGCCGGGAAAGCACACTGCTCTTAAGGACAGCAGGACCTGGTCTTCACTGCCATGTCAGAACACCAGGAGGGGATCTAAGACACAGCTTTGCAAATGGATCCTTAAGCCTCAAGTCACCCCTTCTCCTGCTGCGTTCACAGTGACGACTTCTGCTGTGGGTCAGCGTCCACCAACAGGAGCCGTGTGGCCTGGCCTGAGGGCCCAGCCCTGCACTCTGGTTCCCAGAGCCACTTCTGAGTCTGCTGCTTCCTGGGCTCGGGACCTTGAGCAAAACACTCTGACCTCTGACACTCATACCCCGTCTCTAGAGAACGTGGACAGGGTTTAGTTTGCAGAAGGACTACCAGCTGTTTGTGAAAGCGCCGGGCACGGCATCTTTAATAAAGTAGACACTCAGTGTGGGATTATTAGGATGACTGATTTGAACTGAAGCTATTAAAAACAAAGGTGACCCCAAAAGCCCAGGGAAGCGCAGCTCACGGAAGCGCAGCTCACGGGCGGTGGAGGCAGCAGTGCCCTCACCTGGCCCTCCGTGTTGCCCGTGTGCCACAGCGCGTTCCTCAGGTGCTCGCCCGTCCCAGTGGTGGAGTTGACCACCTTGAGGGACACGCCGGAGTAGCCGTAGGCCCGTGTGGGCTGGTCTTCCCAGTAGGTCTGGGTCACCTGCTTCCACATCACCACGTAGAAGCGGCTGCTGGACTGGTACCCGAAGACGAAGCCCGCGTAGTCATCATCCCGGTCCGTGTTGACGTAGAAGGTGCCGCTGAAGTCCACGGACCCAAACTCATCGAATCCTGGGTGCGAAGTTACAGCACTGCGTCAGGAACGCCCTGCAGGGGGTGCCCGGGCTGGGCCCAGGTCCTGGCAGCATGGTGAGGCTGGGCCCTCTCTCCTCCTGACCCTGTCCAGGCCCTTCACCATGACAGCAGTGAAGCTAAAGAGTCTGCTTAGAGCCCACTCAGAGTCAGGGCAAAGTTTTTACGGCATGACGTGACATGTTATAGAATGAGTGTATAAAATAAAACATCTTGCTGAAAGTTCAGATTGTGTTAAATACTGTGACAGGGCAGGGCTGCCAGGAAAGTCACTCACAGCCACCCCGATCTCAGACAGTGCCCATGTACCCTGCAGTGCCTGCCCCAGCCGCCCCCCCCCCATAGCACTGTGGAGTCTCAGAGGCTCACCCACAGCAATGCCAGGGTCCGAGTTGGCCGTCTGAACCAGCTCCTTGCCCTGGTGACGAATGACCCAGTTGGGGTCAATCTGGGTGGTCCCCTTTGGATCCAAGGGAACCATCTGGAAGTTCCTGAAGTCGGTCTCACTGATGGCATTATTTTCAGGGCACACATCATCAATGTCTGGGACATTGTCGTTGTCAAAGTCGTCTTTACAGATATCACCCCTCCCGTCACCTGTTTACACAGAGCAAACAAAAAACTGAGGCAAAGGAGATGTCCCAACTTGCTCTCCTCCATCAGGGAACCTCGAGTACGTAGTCTCCTGAGAAACCCGAGATTCGCTGCTCTGTGGAGTGCCCTGACCACAGGACTGTGACCTGTGATCCCTAAAATATTGAGCTCAAAAGCCCAGGGGTCTCCACAGGCTTCAAAACATTCTTACAGTAACACTAAGGCAAAGGACAGAACAGTGGCGTCCCCACAAGAACCCCCACCAGAGCCGTGTCTCCCTGTGCTCGGCCCCCGAACTGGGGTGCAGCTGCAGTGACTGCCTGGGGACACCATGCCACCCGTCTAGCTCTTCCTAGCGACAGTTCCCTTTACGTCTCCGCCCTCATCCTGCCTTTTGTAATCTAGCTGGCATTTAAAACAGGATGGATTTTCCTCGAGAGATGAGGACTTCCCTTGTCCGGAATCTTCTTGCAGATTTCTCAGTGGGGTCGTGGGAGGGTGTGCGGGAAGGGGTGCATGTCAGTGCAGGGATGGACCGTGGCATTTACGGGACCTATTGGGACCATTTGCCTGTCCAGTTGGTACCAACAGGTCACAGTTTGCTAAATTACCCTATTTTATAGCCTCTTGTTTCAGGGAGAAAAAGGCAATAAAAAAGTCCTAGTAAAGATCTCATCGTTCTAACCAGTTGCCAGCTCTCTCACACCCAGCACTACAAGGAGGCGTGATCACAGTGTGGCACCTTAACTTGCCAGCCTGGCTGCTCTTCTGCCAATCAGCCCCTCCTGGAGGGGGAAACCCTCCCTCCCAGTAGGACGGCTGCTCAGGCACCGTGGGACTCTGAGTCTCTGCGCCTTAAGGACAGGCCTTCTAAGGGCTCCTGGATCCACCAGGACCCCCTCCAGGGCCATCAGGGCACCTCAGATGACACATGGTGATGTGGGTAGAGAGTGCACACTGGGTCCTGGTGGGGCTGCTTCTCAAGATCCGAGCTGCTGTGGACCAAGTACTCACACAGGCCGGGCAGAGTGGCCCTTTTCCTCCCACGCCAGATGCCCACCACGTCTTCTGTTCTACCCCTGTCCCCTCACTGGCCTCACGGCTGAAGCCCTGACCCACCTGTGTTTAGGGAATTATCTCCTAGGAGATCACCAAGCCCTGGGAAGCTGGACGCTGAGCCACACACTCGGCACAGGTCTTCCAAACGGCTTGAGCATAGCCAGAACTGCCAGCAGCCAGGCAGAAAGAACTGAGGTCCCAAGAACTCAATCCCCAGACGTCCAATGAAAATACTTTTCTCCACAGGAGACTTGAGAGCATTTTCTGGCATGAAAACCACACTGTACAGGGCTGCCCGCAGCAGTGGTCCAGGGATCCAGGCATGGACACCAGGCACCTACCGTCTGAGTCCTCTTGGTCGGGGTTGAAGACGAGTCTGCAATTGTCCCTGTCATCTGGAATCCCGTCGTTGTCATCGTCAGGGTCGCAGGCGTCACCCTTGCCGTCACCGTCGTGGTCAGCCTGGTTGGCATTGGAGATGTAGGGGCAGTTGTCCTGGTTGTTCTGGTGACCGTCGTCGTCTATGTCCTCATTGTTGTCACACTGGTCTCCAACGAGGTCATTGTCCACATCAGTCTGTGGGGTCAGGAATAAGGCAGACAGCTTAGGGGCACTGGGGTGACCCCACAGAGAGGACCCTGTGGACGGGGACTGAAAGTCAACACTGATGGCACAGCTGGGGCCAAGCTGGGACGGAGGAGTGACGGGGAGACAATGTCCCTGTCTGCCGCATGCTGGGCTGAACCTGCAATCTCCCCGTGTGCGCCCCCTCTGCAGGGACCCCCTTCCTGGGACAGCACCATTAGAGTCCTCACATGGAACAATTTAACCAGCACCTGCTCAAGTCTCTGTTGCACCATTTGTGACAATGTGCTCCACAGCCCAGCAACATCCTCCTGGCCCTGCCCAAAGGCAGACCTGGCCAGGAAGCCAACCCTGTGTCTGACTCAGGGAAGGTGGAGAGAACTGTACGGGCCACGACCTCTAATCACGGAGGGAGGAGGAGGCACCTGCAGTCGCCAAGATTCAGGAACTGGGCTTACAGTGGTGCCCAAGGACATTCTCAACTGAAATGACTGGAAGCCCCCTGGGGGCTGTCTCGGCAGCACTCACAGAGCCACACAGATGCACATGGTGGGCCTGATCGGGGCGCGGGCACCGCTCACCTGGTCAGGGTTGTGCACCAGGGGGCAGTTGTCACAGTGGTCCCCCACACCGTCACCGTCAGTGTCCCTCTGGTCTGTGTTATAGACATAGGGGCAGTTGTCCCTCTCGTTGAAGACATCTGTGGGGTGCAGGGGAGGAACCAGGAATGAGTCTGAGACAGCACGTTACTCTGCCCCTAGTGTCAAACAGCTCACAGCCGAGCTTTCACACCGTAATTTTAAAAATCTAAGAGCATGGTAAAATGTAAAGATTACTGGATTTGTGGAAGATAGGACACATTTCCCTCGGCTTAGAGTAGAGCCAGGGCTTGGGGATCTCGGGCAAGCCTCACAGTGAGTGCTGCCCAGCCGTGCTGTCCCAGAGTCCTGGGAGAGCTCCCAGGTGAGACCCCTTCTTTCAAGAAGTCTGACCATAGAACATGGACTCCATGGACACCAGAGTCATGAGGAAGTGAGGAAATTCGCATCAGTGATGGCTAATAACACCACCAGTGACAAGCATCGGTGACACAGCAGAGTGTCACTTGTTGGGACACGGCCTTGCCTTGACCAATGTAGGGTGATCGTAGGGTGGGTGCCACACAGCAGGATCAAGGTGAGAAGGACCCAAAAAAGGAAAGGTGTTATGATCAAGACCTGGATCCACATCTCAGTGACGCTGACGCTGACCCTGACCCAGGCTGAAGAAAGTGTAGGAAGAAATATGCCACAAGGCAGAAGGTGGCTCAGCCTGACAAAGAAGGGACACGGCTGGCCTGGGGCTTGGGACAGTGCCAGTCAGAGGGAGCCAGGCTGGAGGCTGCTCCTGGACGTGAGTCCAGCCTGAGCTGCTGCTGGACCCAAGGACACACACCCTGGCCTCTCACACCCTAAGGAGGGGAATGAGCCAATAGCAATGGTGTCACTGCGGGTCCCAGAGCTCGTTCACTGAGGCCACCAGGATCTCTAGTAAAGTGTTGACCCTGAGCAGTGCCTGAGGGGACACCAGAGCCCTGCTGAGGGCTTTTCAGTGGTGACTAGAATAAGGCCCAGGGGTTGTCCCCAGAGAGGACAGAGCCTCAGCCCTGAGGAGCAGTGTGGCAGGAGGACCAGCCTCTGGGGCTTTTGAATGGAGGATGTGCCTTGGAGAAGACCTGTGAAAGGCCCAGGAAGGGCACAGGGTCCACACTGGGGCCAGAGACGCATGGAGTCGGGGCAGAGACAGGGCAGCAGGAGGACAGACCCTGAGCTCCGGGGTCGCCCCATCCCCTATCAGGATAAAGACAACACCGGGCTAATAATCAAAAGGATCCAGAGTAAACTGTGACACCCGCGAGACCGCGGAGGAGCTGACCGTCACCATCGATGTCCATGGAGCAGGCGTCCCCCTCCCCGTTGCTGTCAGTGTCAATCTGCGCCGGGTTGTGCACGTAGGGGCAGTTGTCACAGCGGTCGCCCACCTCGTCCTTGTCATAGTCAAACTGGCGGGGGTTGAAGAGCAACTGGCAGTTGTCCTGGAGGACAAAGGGCAAAGAGGGTCAGAAGCACCACAGGACGCGTCCCCAGGAGGGCCTGGGGCTGACTCACCCACTGATGGGCCTCGTAGCCCACCCAGCACTTTCTCATGTCAGATCTACTAAAAGTTTAGAAATTTTCAAAGGCACAGATGACATGCCATGTGCTCAATGGATGGTCAGATCTTTAAATGTCAAATAAGCAACGGAATGATTGAGGGGAGCCAGTGAGTTGAGAGTCGGAGGCAAAGACGCCATGAGCACAGACCCAGGTGATCTGTTCTTGCCAATGTTGTTTTTTCTACCAACACATTAATCATCTGTGTTTAAAGCACTTGTCTCAGAAAATTGTAGTATTTTAAATATTGACCAAAAAGGCAAGAACACAGCACTGCAGTGTTAGCTTTCTGCCCATTGGCAGTGCGTCCCGCGGGAGGGGGGACGTTGGATAAGCCGTTCTCTGTGTGGGAAAAGGCAAAGGAAACCCCTAAAGGTGTTTTCTCAGAGCGTCTTTGCCGCCCTGCGCAGGCCGAGTGGTCCACACTGGTGAGGGACCAGCTCTGCCGGAGACGGGGAACTACAGGAGCACGGACACCACAGGATGGTAGCCCTGACACGTGCACACTGCTTGGTACAGAGCACGTTCCCCTTCCTGCCTCTCCTGAGGTCCAGGACAGGTGCTCCAGTGGCCTGAGCACCCTACCTTCTCGTCGGTCACACCATCGTTGTCATCATCATCATCACAGGCATCACCAATTCCGTCCTTGTCAAAATCTTCTTGCCCAGAATTGGGCAGATGGGGACAGTTATCCTATAATTAGAGGCAGAAAAATAATTATAAAGTCACGCTGGAAAAGCTCCTCCTGCTTTCAGTAATGCTGGTGAGAGGACGTGAGCACTGGACGCCTGCTGGCCTATAGGGCAAGTGGACTGGCCAGGGAGCCAGAGACAGGCACTTCTTTTCAAGTTCTGCTCTGGAGATTATGTCTCCACCTCTAGTGCTTGAGACAAAAGAAGCTTGTGTTCTGAGCCCAGAACCCCAGAGAAGCTGCTGAACAGCTGCAGGAATGAGAAGGGAGCAAGGAGCTCGGCTCCGAGAGATGCAGAGCAGGACATGGGGCCAGAGTCCCCCACTCCACAAGACGCACAGCAGGACACAGGGCCAGTGTCCCCCACTCTGAGAGATGCACGGCAGGGGCCAGTGTCCTCTGCTCTGAGAAATGTAGGGCAGGACACAGGGCCAGCGTCCCCTGCTCCTGCAGACACAAGCCACAGAGCACACAGGCAAAACCTGTGAACTCTTGACTCTCATTAGCTGAAAACCTTCAAGCTAGGTGTCTGGCGAAGGTGTGTGTGATCTGTTCAGAAACTACAGCTCAGGAGTGGACCATATCCGCTAGTTCAGGCCTCTGCAGTGAGCGAGCAGAGGAGGCACTTGGGTTCTCTGAGGGACACAAACCCCAGGGGCTGCCCGGCCGAGGGATGACCCTGCACCCGTGCACTGGCCAGTAAACAGACAGGTGTGGGGCAACCAAGTCTCACTCTAAATCCTTTTGTCCTCTCGTGCTACCCACATGAACATAGAATTAGAACGTGACATTTTTAAGTTATTAAATTCCTACCTGCAATTTCACAGAACTAAAAAACTGACAGGACAGCCTCACAGTGACAGGGACTTGGCTGCACCTACACCAGGACCTGGGGGGGACACGGGCGGGGTCCACACGTCTCCTCTCTCAAGCACTTTCCACTCTCATTTCAGCCACTATTAGCCATTTTTAATCAAGAGTGACTGACAGAAAAATTAAAATCAAAACACTGTTACACAAAATTCACAATGATTAAGTACTAAATAAATGGATATATTTATACTTTCGAATTATTTCTCTATAAGTTTGTAGCACTTACACTTCTGACATTAAGTGAGAAGAAAACAGCAATAGACTGTTTGGGGAACTGCAGTCCCCAAGACACACGTGCACCTCCCAATCCCTGGAGCCTGTGACTTTCACTGTCTGTGGCAAAAGATGCAGCCAAGTAAAGGGTCTTGAAAGGAGGGGACTCATCCTAGGTGATCCAGTGGACCTGAAATGCCACCAGGCCTCCCTGTGAGAGAGAGGACAGTGGAGGCAGAGGCGAAAGCAGCCACACCCCAGGACACCTGGATCCGGCAGCAGCTCTGGAGGGAGCTTGGCCCTGTCCCAGCAGCACAGGGCGTAGAGCACCTGTCGCGGCCCCAGGAGGCTCATCCTCCCAGCTGGCTAATCGCTCCCCTATGGCTCAGCACCTCACATCTTTATAAAGAAAGATGTCTACTAGAACTTTCTAAGTGGTGAGGACAGTGAGGCCACACCACACCCTGGAACCCACGTCCCACCTCCCTGCACAGAACTGGGTATCCTGATGTGTGCCCCAGACAGACATCAGCTGTCATGGCCCACAGGCGAAAGCAGGGCTGCTACTGAGCAACCCCTGGAAGGGGAGGGTGTTGAGGGGGACAGAGCTGGAACTAGAAGTCACACTGTCCACGTGCAGCAGCCACACCCCTCACCTTGACACTGGGCCTGGGGTCACACCACCTACACACAGCCTCCATGCCCCTCAACACCGGGCCTGGGGTCACACCACCCACACACGGCCTCCATGCCCCTCAACACTGGGCCTGGGGTCACACCACCCACAAAACGGCCTCCATGCCCCTCAATACCGGGTCTGGGGTCACACCACCCACACACAGCCTCCATGCCCCTCAACACCGGGCCTGGGGTCACACCACCCACACACAGCCTCCATGCCCCTCAACACCGGGCCTGGGGTCACACCACCCACACACAGCCTCCAGGCCCCTCAACACCGGGCCTGGGATCACACCACCCACAAAACGGCCTCCATGCCCCTCAACACCGGGTCTGGGGTCACACCAACCACACACAGCCTCCATGCCCCTCCCCTGGGGCCTGGGGTCACACCACCCACACACAGCCTCCATGCCCCTCAACACTGGGCCTGGGGTCACACCACCCACAAAACGGCCTCCATGCCCCTCAACACCGGGTCTGGGGTCACACCAACCACACACAGCCTCCATGCCCTTCACTTTGACACTGAGCTTGGAGGTCATACCACCCATGGACAGCCACCATGCCCCTCACCTTGACATTGGGCTTGGAGGTCACATCACCCACATACAGCCACCATGCCCCTCACCTTGACACTGGGCCTAGAGATCATACCACCCACATAAGGCCTCCATGACCTTCACCTTGACACTGGGCCTGGAGTCACACAGCCCACATGCAGCTGCCAAGCCCCTCACCTTGACACAGTGGTAGGTGGCATTGGTGGCACAGACCAAGTTGAAGTTGGGCCAGCCATCCAGGTCCGAGTCCTCTCCGCAGATGAGCCCATCACCAGCGTAGCCTGTCTGACACTCACACTTGTACATGGGCTCACTGAAGTGGCCCAGGTAAACGCACTCTGCGTGCCTGTGGCAGCTGTGTGTCTTGTCCTTGCACGGGTTCTCAGGCTCACACACCTGCGGGGAGAGGGGTCACTGGCAGGCAAGGAGCATGCCTGGCCAGGCATTGTCCTAGGGACGCATGCAGGAGGGTGGCCAACAAGCTCCGAGTGGGTGTGGCTCCCAGGCCTAACCTGTGAGCAGCGCTGTCATCTGTAGCCCACCTGCTGACCAGGGGACAACAGTGACACATACAGCTCCCAGGCCCTGATGCTCCTGGGTTCTCTGCGTGGAACCAGATGGGCTGTAGGATCCTGGCTTCCCTGAGGCGACCCCCTTCCTCCCCTCACCTGTTTCTACTTTTCTGGACTGGCCCAGCCCTTCCTGAGCCTTTAATAACACACAGGAAGGACTCCGCTTACTTGCTTGTCTGTGCTGGCGGCCTCCAGGCCGACCCCACTGGGCTGGCTCCCTCGGTAGCGTGGAGGGCAGGGCAGGCAGTGGAAGCCCGGCTGGGTGTTGATGCAGCGTGGACCCTTGCCACTGGGGAAGCAGACGTCAGGGACCAAGGCACACTACAAGGACATACAGACGTGAGCACCACACCCACCTCTACTGGCCCCAGCGTCCGGGGGGAGGGGTCACCCACCTCATCCAGATCCTCACAGTGGGTGCCATTGCCCAGAAAGCCCACCGGGCAGGAGCCACAGGACCAGGATCCATCAGGGAAGCTGCTGCACTGGGCTCCGGGAAAGCAGGGGTTGGACAGACACCCATCTGGAGAGGAGTGGACAGTAAGCCCTGCCATGCCCAGCTGCTACCCAGCTCAGCACACACCACCTCTTGTCCTGTTAAACACTGCTGCTTGGGTGTCACGGAGTGGCTAGGGACATTCCAGTGATGCCCACGTGGGCAGTCCCAGGTGGTCACTGAAACATCACTGCCGAGACGTGCCGTCCATGGTCAGAAAGCCATGGGCAAGGAGCGCGTGTGCGGCTCCTGCCAATAATCAGGCACCTGACCACACTGCACCCTTCATTTTCTTTCTTTCTTTTTTTATTGAGACAGTCTCACTTTGCCACCCTCAGTAGAGTACCGTGGCATCACAGCTCATAGCAACCTCCAACTCTCAGGTTTAAGCAATTCTCTCGGCTCAGCCTCCCAGTGGCTGGGACTATAGGGTCGGCCACAATGCGGCTATTTTTTTGTTTGTTTAGCAGGCCCAGCCCCAGAGCATGTGGCTGGCACATCAACACTGAGCTACGGCACCCAGATGCCCCATTCTCTTTTTACATAAAAATACCAGGAGTAGGAACCCAGATGCTTAAGCACTATCTTTACGTGTGATTGCTCCCTGGTTCCCCATGTGCCTTTCATTAGAATAAAGCCCAGTGTCTTCCCAGACCCGCCCCGGCCAGCGTCCCGCAGACCCACCGACTGGGCAGCTCCTCTTGTTGCACATCTGGCGCTCGGTCACGTCCCCCACGCAGGCCTTGCCCCCGTGCTGTGGCTCGGGGCTGTTGCAGACCCTCGTGCGCTCCCGGATCCCACCAGCGCAGGTGACGGTGCAGGCTGACCACGGGGACCAGGGGCTCCAGCGGCCGTCAACTGCAGGGAGAGCCAAGCGGGGGGCTCAGGGCAGGGGCACGCAGGCTGGAAACGTGATCTCCGAGACAGGAACAGCACTGCTGTGCTGCCTACGTGGCAGAATTTGGCCTCTTTCTACGGAGACTGAGCTGTGGCCAGAGTGTGATGGCGCCAAGGCCCTCAAGCCACCAGATGCAGGCCGGTGTGGCTGCATTTTAACCTCATAGAAAACTTTTCTACCTAAGCTCACAACTCTTCCCTGGGTGGCCCATGCTGGGGGGAGCGTCCCAACTCTGAGCATCGTGTGAAACTGAATTGCATCAAAGATTTGCACAAATTGTGGGGACAACTCAGCAGTGGCAGCAGCCCCACGTTTCTCCTGTTCTGTGTCAGTGCTTGTCACACACGGTCTCCCTAGTAAGTCTCTGGGGCTTTGTGCCCACTTCTGCTGTAGGACACGGACACCTGCTGGCCTCAGGCCCCTGACCCGAGATTGCGCTGCAGCTCTGCCTAGTGTCCCTCTGATGGAGGTAGGACGGTAGGCTATGTGCAGTCTGTACAGGACATGCAGTGAATAGGGACTGTGTGAACAAGGTCAGTGCTGAGAGCAGGAGAGCAGCATTGATCAAGCAGTGGTTCCAGGAAAGAGCAGGACCAGGGTGGCCCCTTCTGCCGCCAGGCTGGGACCTGGGAACGGGCAGGTAGGTTGGGCTGGGCTGGGCAGGGCAGGACAGGCCTGGCACCAGGACCCCATTCTCACTGTAGTTACTTCCCCTGCGCATCCTGCACACTCACCACCCCAGGGTCCTGCCACTTACTTGGGCACGGGACGCCCTGGCAGGGCTTGGTCTCCCGGCCACTCCCTTTGCAGTTCTTGCCCCCCATCTGGGGCACAGGGGAGTTGCAGAGACGGATGCGCGTGATGTTGCCGACCCCACAGGTCACAGAGCAGGAAGACCAGGGTGACCAGTGGCTCCAGCCGCCGTCCTGCCGGACTGACACAAGGATAGCACAGAGAGGTTGGAGTTGCAGGCCGCACCCCAGAGGGGCTGAGCCTACTGGCATTTCCTTCTTCACTAAGCAGGGTCTCACAGCTACAGAGGACCCTCTCCCAATCAGGACCCATCTCCCAAAACATCCCCAATGGCTGAGAGAGCCCAACCCCACCCCGTGGGTGGGAGGCACTCACTGCGGGTGTCACATTTGCCCAGGCTACAAGCCCGCGTCTGGATGGACGGCCCCAAGCAGGTATTGCTGGTGACGTCACATGAGCGGCCTCTCTGCTGGGTCCCAGAGCCACACGTCACGGAGCACTCGGTCCACTCTGCCCACGGAGACCAGCCCTCCTCACTGTCCGATGCTGCCCAAAAGAAGGAAACGCGGTGCCCTCAGGCCCTGCTCGCTGACATGCACAGCAGAGCAAACTGCAGGGAGTCGGCCCCACAGTCAGAAGGACCCCAGGCCTGCCACGCCCCAACTGTTGGTGCCAAGTCTGTCACCTGAGTGGTGCTCAGATGCCCCACGGAAGAGTGAGAGGAGCAGCAGCGTCCGTCTGGGTGTGGAGGACAGTTTCACCCACATGTGTCCAGAAGAGTGTATGGCAGACGTTTACCCCAGCTCAGAAAAGAGAACAGGGTCCTGTCTACAGCAAGTCTCACTGAAGCTACTAAGATTTGATTTAATTACATTTTAGCCTGTTTGCAGAGTTATAGAATATGAGAGAGCAGAGACCTCCTGGGATGGCAGAAAACACACCGTGCGGGTGGTGAGATGACGCTCAGGAGCAGGAGAGACAGCACCCAGGCGGCCTCCTGGGCCGCGGCGGCTCCCAGGTGCTCTCCTCCATATTTACGTTGCGCAAGGAGCAACCCCACCTCGGGAATAGCCACCCGGCACCATCACACGCATCAGGCTGCTGATTTAATCATCAGACTAACCTTGTATTTGGGGAATTTTTCTACAGATAATGTATCCGAAACTCAGAAAAAAATCACATTTTGTTCAAAAGCACAGGGCGGCAATGCCCACGCTTATCTGTAAACCCATTTTCTGTCCCAGGGCAGGGGTTGGCATCCGAGGATGATACCCAAGTCTCTGGGCCAGGGGACATCTGGAATGTTTGTGACAGTGCCTGGCTTACTCAGGGACAAGACTGTGCAGTTAGTGCCACAGAGATCTCGGTGGCGCCTGAACCCCTTCTTCAGCAGCCTTGGCACCAGGGGCCACTCAGAGTTGGGAGCACAGCCAGGGCCCCAGCCTGGGCCCAGCTTCACAGTGCAGGGGCCTCTGTATGTGCTGGTGGCCCATGTGTCATTCCTCCCCAAACCACTTCTGCCCCCGTGGAGTGTATTTCCATTACCGAGGGACTCCCCAGGTCGGGGCCTGGAGCTCTTGGCTACTTTCCATCACTGTCACTCTGCCGATGTGATAACCACAGTCATAGTCTAAGTTATGTGTGCCCTGATATGGGGTTGGCATTGGGGCCAGGGGCTATCCCTGGGTGGAAAAGTCGGGCTCTTTCCCTCTGGGCCTGGCCCTTAGACCTACTCTCTAAGAGCGACACAGCAGGACGGGGCCCTCTGACCCCTGAATTCCTAGGACTTTCAATGGCCATTCTGGCCACTGGTCAGTGGAACAAGAGACAGGAAAGAAAGGCCCCCAGCCAGAGACCTGTGTCCGCTGGCAGTACTCACAGTGGAAGCAGGACGGGCAGCATTCGCCGTCCACGAAGGAAGGGTTGGCACAGGTCGCTGGAGGGCAAGTGATTTGGTGGCAGATGGTTTTAAATTTCTATAACCAAAGAGAAGTATTCAGAGAGCTTCACTGCAAGTAACAGACCTTAGCTCAAGGGCTGCCACAGAGAGGACCGTCCCACCGATGGACATTGTGGAGATGTGACAGCAAAGGCACCTTTTCCTCTCACTAGAGCCGGAGCCTAATATGAACAAGGCCCAAGCTGGCCCTGACTCTATCTTGTCCCTCTCTCCCTCCACTGGGCAGTGAGAACAGCAGAAGCCACCCATACCTTGTGGCCGACCGGAAAAGGACGTAAATGAGAAGACACTGAATTGTCTGTCCATGTAGCTTTTGATAGTGACTTTCCCTTCCCCAAATGACTCTGCTGAGCCCTCAGATGTAACCACAACCAGACGGAATTAAAGACAAACCGGGCCATGTCTGGCTTCTCCACTCCCGCTCTGTCTCTAACCACCTGGCGGCACTGGCCAGTCCTCAGCCCTCTGAGTTCTGCTTTCTCTATGTACAAAGAAGTGAGGTGGAGCCATGATTATATTCACCAGCCCTCCCCTGGCTCTCACTCGGCTCTCCTCACCTGTCTGAGCACATCTTTACACATCCCTACAGGGCAGCGCCATGATGCTCAGCTCTGCCCTGGTCCGAGTGTGCAGAATTCCTGGGGTCTCACCTTGCAGGTACACGTGGTGCAGCTGTCCACCACCCAGGTCTCATTTTCCGCAAAGAACCGGCCGTCCTGCCAGCAGGTGGACACGTTCCTCGTCTTAGGAGGGCCACCAATGAGCTCCCAGAGAAACTGGTTATCATTCGACTGGAAAATCGAGACAAATACATCATTATAAACAAGGACACATCACACTCAGCCATCATGCCTGCAGGCGAGAAAGCTCCTTCTTGGTTGAAGGGCTCCGGCATGAAGATGGCAGAGCCTCACCAAGGTGAAACCGCCCCTTGTGCAGGTCTCCACCCCTGACTGCTGCCCACCTAGGCATGTCTCACATGCCCGGCCGGGCATGTGGCCAGGTCGCAGAGCTGACCTGAGGGGCAGCAGCCCACTGAGGCTAAAACTGACATGGATTCACAGGTGCAGGCACCCTTCCCTTCACTCACAAACATGACAACAGCTGATCTAATACTGCACTATTTGGGAAACTGCCAGGGAGAATTCTCGCTATCCCAGGGTTAGAGACTAGAGAAGAAGATGCAAAGTTTAAAAAAATCAAATAAATGAAAATGCACCAAGTCTTCCTCATTCTAAGCAGTCTCCTTGAGACTTAATCACATGTGCTCCTTCAGCCGGAGGGGAGGTTCAGAGCCTGTGAAGACCTGCTGGATGGTGTGTTTAAAACCCATTCTCACCTTTTGTGCAGTGTCAGGGAGTTCACAAATCACCTCAACCCCCGACCAAGTTTAGTAGCCTGGTCCTAGGAGCTCTTTCTAATCTGAGGGTGAGAACCTGCCAGGCCATGTGCCCACATCTGCCCCCAGGGGATCACTCCCTAGAAGGGGAGGTGCTAGATGTCTCCAATCACACCAGGGTTAACAGCCATGTGCCGGCACAGCCCACACAGCACATGTCCAGGGGAGCACCACAGACACACTCGGAGTGCGAAGAGACTTCTCCTGGGGGGACCGCCCACTGCAGAGCTCTAGCAACTACCCGAGTCCCCATAATTCCTCTCTCAGACAATGCCAGCCCCACCCCCCATGGACGTCTGTGGGCAGGTAGATGGGGGAGCTGCCATAGCTTCTGCTTCCTGGGACTGCCCCAATGCCAAAGCCCTGGTGGAAAGTTCTAGAAGCTGTGCTGTAACCTTCCCCATGGCCTCGGCCTCTGCTTCTGTGATGCCCACTCCATCTGGTCCCAAAGAAACAGAAATCGTGCTGATTCTGACGTATCTGGGCCAGAAGCAGAATAACCCCCAGGGCTCCTTCCATGGGGAGATGGAAGGCAGGACTCGGGGCAGTAATGAGGTCCTGGTGCAACTTCTCAGCCCTCCTACTGGGAGCCACTCCCCACAATAGCCCCAAGGACAGGAGAAGATGGAAGCGGAGCCCCTTCCCTCAGGCACCATCCACACTCCCAGCCATGCTTCCCCCCTCCTCACCCATCTCGTGTCTTCTGGGCACAAGTCATAGTCACCCCACCATCCTTGGATCAGGCATTGGATAAGGCAGGACAACAAGACGGAGAGGATCCCATTACCTGCAGGTCCTGTTTCCTGCTTTAATCAACTTGGGCACTTTTTTCTCTCCTGGGACACACCGTGCAGTTGCACACAGGTTTGCCTCATGTCAGCCTCAGAACCACTTCCCATCCAGACTGCCCCTTCCATATCCAGTGCTCCAGCTAAAAGTTGTTCCTGTGTGTGTGTGTGTGCATGCGCGTGTGTGTGCATGTGTATCTGTGTTTTTTGAGATGAATTTCTCAAAATTCATCTTATTTTGAAGACTATACATCCAAGGCCCATACTTTCCCCGTAGCATCCTGAGGAGTGTGACACAACCCCCCACCCACCATGAGCAGTGACTTTTTAAATGGAACCCACTGCCCATCTGGCCACCCAAAGCCCTCGCAGCAGGAGGGCGCCCCTCCTCAGCCAGCTCTGCCACCAGGCACCCACCACTCTTTTCAGGTTCTCGTTGAGCTGGTTCACGATGACGTGGAGCCCGGAGAGCTCGTTGATCATGTTCTCCAGCTCCTCACAGGAGTGCTCACACACCGGAGGCCGCTGCTCGGCGCTCGGGCCCATGTACTCAGTCCGGACATGAGGGCTCAGATGAAGCGTCTCTGTGTTCTCACTGATGGCGTTGACCTCCGCTGGGGGGAGCACAGCAGGAAGTGAGATGCAGGCCACGCCAACCCCTCCTGGAGCCGTACCCTGTGCCCAGGCGAGGAGCTCTCTGCACTGGTTCCTGAGTGGCCTCGTGTCAATAAGACCGGGGCTTTCAAACAGGAGCAGAGCAGAGGTGTGGCGCTGGGATAGGAATGGCTGGAGTTGAGGCTATGCACTGTTATAAGCATGAGTCTGGGTCACGCCCCACCCTAAATCCCTTTCTCCAAAAACACATCCTCATCTTCTTAGCTCCTCACTGATCCCTGGTTTGGTTCCTAAACACCCTTCCTCCTTGTCCAGTCATCCTTCTGCTCCAACAGGGGATGTCCTCAAGACTCCCCCTCCTTCCCTGTCTTAGCCTGAGTCTCCACAGGCCCAGGGCCCTTCCTGAAGGGTGGGGTAGGCGCCCACCAGCTGGTAATCCTGGGGCCGCTGGGGACCCTGCCTCTCACCTGAACCCAGAAATTGCACAGGCCACCTACAGCTCTAGCTGGAGAGAAGTGTGTGGGTAGGATGTGTAATTTACAAACCGATCTTGGCATGTCCAGAAATGGAGTCCTCCTCAGCTCAGCAGGCTGATGTGGGCACAGCCGGGCGGAGGGCTCAGGCTTGTCACGTTCATTCACAACCCACTCTAACTTCCTCTCCAGGGTGATTATCACATGTTTAAAATGCTCTGTTTCTTTTCAGACATTCCATTACTGCTGAATTATTACTTGTAAATCTTACAGCGCTGTCAGGCATTCCATTACTGAGCTTTTATTGCTTGTTTATAAGCCGTGTTGCAATTTGCACTAAGCTCAAATTCATTATGCCTCTAACCATGTGCAACCATGTAAATATCAATGTACTAACTGCTGTACAAATATATATGTATGTATATAGAGAAGGAGGGAGGGAGTGAAAGAAAGAGGAGTAGAGAGAGGGAGGGAGAGGGACAGAGTCGGGGAGAGATCAGCTTAAACAGATTCTAAGTGGATTTTACTCTCTGTATTTGCTTTCATTTAATTAAAAACAATCTTTAACTTATCCAGGATACTTACTTTTTATTCCTTTAGTATTTAAGCAAAAACTAGCTCAGGTGTTGGTTCACCTCTGCTTCTGCCGTGAGTCTCTTTTGACCTTACAGTATAACCTTCCCAGCAGCCCACATCTCCCAGGTTTCTGCCAATATTCTCTAGTGAAGCAATAATGCCCAGTGCCTTCACCAGGCTGCTCTTATTTCTAACACACAGCAAACATGGTCTTTACCCACTAGGAAGTACCACTCAGCTGTAAAGAAAATGCAATCTGGATGGAAGTGCAGAACACTCTTCTAAGTCAGCAGTTCTCAACCTGTGGGCCAAGACCCACAGGAACTGTATTAAAGGGCCACGGCATTAGGAAGGTTGAGAACCACTGTTCCGAGTGAAACATCACAGAGATGGGGAAACAGACACATGTAGTCAATACCGGGCTGGAATTGGTCAATCAGCTGGGGGGCAGGAGGGAATGTGTAAATTCACGCCTATTGGGTACAGCGCACACTGGGTGGGGGGTATGCTTATAACCTTGACTCAATTTGTGCAAAAAATAAAGCATGTAAACAGAACACATATACCCCCCAATATCTTGAAATGTTTAAAAAGAATTTAAGGAAAAAGTCCATGCCATAACCAAGCACCAATTCATGAACTAGCTATTCAATTAGACCAATGTTCTCTAAGTTTGACATAACCAGGGAAGGAGCATATCTGAAATTATCGTGAGCAACGTCTTTCAAACTGGACCTCCATGAAGTCAGTGCTCCGATTGGCTGACTGATGAGTGACCCTTAAATACATATCGTCAATAGAGATAAATGTATAGATTGTACTTATTCCACAGTTAAATAACAGATTTAGATCCCTGTGTGAATCTGATTTTGAGAAGGTCTAAGAGCTTCCTATAATTTTTAAAGGATTGCTTTTAATAGCTCCAGGGGTCACTGACTTGTGACCATGAGCCTAAACACTCCTGTCCGAGGCTCAGAGATTCCTGAGGAAGCTCCCTGCTGGGGCAGCAGGTGGGCGAGAGTGAGCACACTCTCCAGAAATGCCCACTCACATGGGGCTGTGGACCACGCTGTCGCAGCAGGCTGGTCACCTACTACTAATCATGATACCTGACCAATGGGCCATCACCACCTAGTTCTAGTTTAACTGAACTGCACCCAACTGTGGTGCAGACCTGTGATTCAGAACGCTGAGAGTATAGTTTCTCTGTATAGAGACAATACACGGTACTTGTATGTAGTGTTAGTGGAAACACGCATGCATGTGTGTACATCTAAAACACACGTCTGAAGACAGGGGCCACATAGGAATTTCATGTTGCAGATGTCAAATCCTACACATCCCTGCATGTTGACCAATAAAAGAACAATTAGTGTTTGTCATATTTAGAACTGCAACGAAGTGGCCTTAATGTAAAGTAACACAGTGAACCACAGGGCAGAAGAGAGCCCCGTGCTGGGCACTGTGAGACCCAGAGGGGCGCAAGTCATTGCTCACGGGAATAAACATTTAAACAACCCTCTTGAACCTGGGCTCCTGTTTCTGTGTAACGAGGGACACAGAGGCTCCTGTCTCTGTGTAACAAGGGACGTGGAGACCCCCGTCTCTGTGTAATGAGGGACGTGGAGACCCCCGTCTCTGTGTAACGAGGGACGTGGAGACTCCCGTCTCTGTGTAACGAGGGACGTGGAGACGCCCGTCTCTGTGTAATGAGGGACGCGGAGGCTCCTGTCTCTGTGTAATGAGGGACGCGGAGGCTCCTGTCTCTGTGTAATGAGGGACGCGGAGGCTCCTGTCTCTGTGTAATGAGGGACACGGAGGCTCCTGTCTCTGTGTAACGAGGGACGTGGAGGCTCCTGTCTCTGTGAAATGAGGGACACGGAGGCTCCTGTCTCTGTGTAACGAGGGACGTGGAGACTCCTGTCTCTATGTAATGAGGGACGTGGAGGCTCCTGTCTCTGTAAGCTGTTGCTGAAGATTCAACAATATGCTATACTTTAAGAGCCTGGCACGGTGACCATTATAAACTAAATGCCAGCAAATTAAACTCAGAAATACAATTCAAAATCCTAACGAACAGAAAGTGTAAGATTATCTGCCAATAATTTAAGTCACACAGATTTCCATAAGATGATGAAATCAACAACTCTAAATAGTATAAAAAAACTTCTACAAATCCATTTTGACACATACCTATGAGGCTTTTTTATGTTGAAATTAATATAGTGAAAAACTTGCTTATATTTAAAATCATGTTAAAATGCCATATATTTTTCTTGACTTATGTAATAAAAGTTTTCAGATTATTAAAATCTAATAAAAACTAATTATTCAAGCAAATTATCATTTTTCAGACATCAACATGACTCAGTTAATAGACATGTCATAGGCAACAAAGGTGCTTCATTCAAACAGTTTTACTTAAATTCTTATTAGTGTACACACATACACACACACATACATACACACACACCCCACACAGGAAACAAATTCTTCCAAGGGAGGAAATGAAATACATTGTTCAAAACACACTTACCTCCCTGGCCTTGCTGACAACCTTTCTTGGTTAGAAGATCTTCCACCGAGTTTTCAAACACCAAGTGGACATTCTGAAGCAAACCCTGTGAAATGCACAAGAACACCCCATAAATATAGACGGAATCTTCAGATAGCAAGAAGACTTTCTTCTACATAGCAGGTTTCAAACCACTTCAGAATCAGTGTTTTCTCTATGTGTTACTTTTGAAATTTGTTTTTATGCATGACAGAGGAAATGGGAGTTAACATAAAAAATTTACCAACTAGGAGAAAAAAATGTTCCCTAGGCAAAGATGAGGGTGGCCCTCAATGCACTTCTTCTTAGTCTGCAGAGGACTCATTATCGTTGATGATCTTGCATTTGGCTAAAAGGCTGGAATGTGCACTGGTCCGATCAGAGATGTGGACACTGGGTCAGGAGGAGTACCTTCCACATTATGAGGGGTCAGCCACTTTTTACACCAGGCCAGGCCGGTCACATTCACCACAAGCACCCTGCACCCGCTGAGGTTAATCCAACAGCAAGCTATACACCTCTAGGCCTTTTACTCAAGTAACCAAGCAGAGCAGTGCGCCAGCACATCACTGTAGATTCTAAATGCTTTTGGTTTTAGAAAGATACTGTTCCAAATATATCTTACCCAGACAGACATGAAACTATCCCTCTCCTTAGGAAAGGGCCATTGTTAGTTTGCCCGCCCTTCACATCACTGCTCAGCACAAAGGCAGGAGCAGCCCTAGCTCTGATGAAGTAGGTCTGGGGTTGCCAGACAGGGGAACAAGTGGGAAGCCTGGGTCCACACACCAGTCCTCAGCCTCACTGATGACCATCAGTGAAGGTGTGAAGGCACACCAATGGACACCTTCTTGCCTACTCATGGCTCAGTAGGGTATGTGGTGTGTCGTGTTTGTGTGTGGCTGCCTCCGTGTGCATTACCCAAGTGCATGCCTGTGTGCATTCATGTGCACGTGTGTGGTGGATGTGTTCATGCATGTGTATGAATGGACTTGTGAGTGTGTATCATGCAAGTAGATGCATGAGTGTGCATGTATGGTTGGGTGTGTATCTGTGTGGGTGCATGTGTGTTCACACCTATGGGTATACTGTGTGCACACATATGACTTATATGTGAGTGTGCATGGGTGGTCTGATGTGTATGTGTGCGTGCACTGTGTGTGTGACTGTGCTGTGTGTGCACACATGTGGATGTGTGATCTGGTGTATCTGTATGTGTGAATGTGTATGCATGTGTGTGTTTGGGGGGGCCTGGTGTAGCTGTGTGTGCACATGGATCTGTATGGGGCGTGTGTGTGCACATATATGGACGAGTGTGCTGTGTACACAGGTGTATCTGTATGGCAGTGCGTGTGCACGTGTGTGCGTGAGTGTGCTGTGCACATAGATGTATCTGTATGGCAGTGCGTGTGCATGTGTGTGCGTGAGTGTGCTGTGCACGCAGGTGTATCTGTATAGGCAGTGCGTGTGCACATGTGTGCGTGAGTGTGCTGTGCACACAGGTGTATCTGTATGGCAGTGCGTGTGCACGTGTGTGTGTGAGTGTGCTGTGCACACAGGTGTATCTGTATGGCAGTGCGTGTGCACGTGTATGCGTGAGTGTGCTGTGTACACAGGTGCATCAGTATGGGGCGAGCGTGTGCACATGCTCCGCCTCCCACAGACCCCAGTGTTCTCAGCCCCAGAGCTGCATCGAAGCCCCAGCACCGCGTACCCTGAAGTGGCCGTCACGGGCAGCGCCCTTGGCCACGTACATCTTGCTGCCCTCTGGCTGCAGGCGCTCGTAGAAGGGCTCGTCCAGGGTGACGCTGTCGATGAGGTCGCAGCCCACGTACAGGCTGTAGGTCTCGCTGGCCACCTGCACGGTGACGTTCTTCCAGCGCGCATCTGCAAGGCCCACGTCCTCCAGTGAGAGCACGTGCTGGGCACCCCCAGCCCAGTAGGTCAAGTCCAGCGTGTCTGCTGGGCCGTTAGACACAATCTCGAACTGGCGCTGGGCCGCGCCTGGGCCGTGCAGGGTGAGCAGCGTGCCCCGGGTTCCGCGGTCCTGCCGCACCTGCGCCGTCAGAAAGAAGCCATCGCGGCGCCGTGCCTGCTCCGCAATCGTGCGCAGGGCGTCGGCGCCCACGGGCGGCAGGTAGTCGAAGCGCACAAAACGGTAGGCGGGTCCGCCAGGCTCCGGGCCACGGAACTGCTTGGCGCCAATGGTCTTGCGGTTGATGTTGCTGACGCTGAAAAGGTCGAAGAAGGCGTCCTCTTCCTGGCTCACGGCTGTGCAGGGGAACAAGGCGGGTCACCACCGGCCCCGGCTTTCCACGGGAGGCTAGCGCGGTCGCCTGAGCCATGCGGTCTCGCCCCTTCCTGTGGGAACGCTAATTCTGCCTCTAGCACCATCGTGCGCCCCAGCACCCCGCTCAGTGGGGTCCTGAAACAGCCTCTGACCTCGGGGTCCCTCGCGCCCTGGCTGCCCGAGAGCCTCAGAGGGTGACTCTCGGCACAGAAGCGCAGGTGCGCTGCCAGCGCTGCCCAGGGGAAGACCTGCCCTGTGGTGGAAGCCACACCGACACAGGGGCTGCACAAGGCCCAGGTAGTGTCTGGAGACCCAGGCTGGAAGGCAGCCTTGCTCTCTGCCATTTGCTTGATGGGGGACGGGGAGAGAAACAAACAGAAAAAAAACTAGGAAAGGTAGACCTTTAGCCTTCCTATTGGTGGAGTTTCAGAAAGCAACTAAAATACCATACATTGGTCTCTTATTGCAATCACCAGTCTTAAACAAGTTACGTTAGCATCTTGATCTTTGTAAAAATGTATTCTCCAACTCATGCACCTGTGGTGAGGTGCTGAGACAAGGACTGGTCTCAGGGCTACAAACAAAGGGTCTGAAGTCACCAAATAAACTATTGGCAAAGGAAGTTATCAGACTTTACCAGAATTATGACAGTTTAAATAACTCAAAACAATATAATGACCAGAAACGTTAAACAAGGCATTACTTTCCATCTAATACTTAGCAAATTAAAACACTGTAATAAACACTGTTGCCTAGAGAAGTGTGAGCGGCACCACTGGGGGTGGAACTGTCTGGCAATAATACAGAGAATTAAAACCTCTGACTCAGCTGTCCTATTTTTGTAACTTACTCAAAGGATGTTATCACAAATGCTAGTGAAGGCTTATTCAAACAATATCCCTGTGCCATCATTTATTCTAGTGGCCTGAAAACATGAAGTTTATCTGTGGTGATGCACTCTGCAGTCCCAAGTCACATTGCAGGAAGATGAACACAAGAAAATACTTAAGATGTTGTGTTTTAAGTAGAAAGATAGTAGAGAAAGGAAGTTATAAAACGCCAAATGCATGCAGGCTGTAAATATAACACATGGGGGAAGATAAACTTTATACAGCAAAATGTTGCATCTCTAGGTGGCTGGGCACTATTCTCTAAAGCCTGAATTATCCAAAGACAAAATATTTCCTGTCATATTGATTCAAAAGTAAACAAATGTTTTATCTGCAAAGGAGTCGAAAAGGTTCGAGCAGGTTAGATTCTCTAGCCACACATCCGTGGCTCAGCCGCCCCGGGGGCCCTAGGGGCCCCCGTACCCAGGGCCCCGTCACCACTCACCCCTGTCGCCACTCACCTTGAGTCCCCGGCCATGCCCACAGGGCCAGCAGGAACAGCTTGCACAGCATCCTTCTCCCCAGGGCCGACTCCTGGGGATGAACGCAGCCGAGTCAGTTACGAGTGTACGCTGCAACTTTGAGTGTGCCGGAAACGTTCGTTCACATGACCATTTACAAACAATTCGCTCATAAAAGTTAGAAACAAATGGATTTGTGGGGAGCCAAAAGCTGGTAAGAGATTTGCTTTTCAAACAGCATTTTCTGACTACAGCTAATGGTTATCAGGCCGGCATCATTGACAAACACTGTGCTAATTATGTTCTAAATAGTCATGGTTAATTTATTACTCAGATTCACCTAGGAGGAAAATGCCATTCCTATTGTGTCCATTCTACAGATGAGCAAATGGAGGGCAGGAAAGGAAAGTAGTCGCCAAGATGAATCCCTAGGAAGTGCAGCCAAGACTCAGCCCCAGGAAGCTGGACTTTATAAATACCCCGCCCAGCAAAAATGATCCATGAAGGCGTTTTGCACAAATACCCAAGAAAAAAAGTTATGCATAACTTAATTAAATAGAATAAATATTAACTGTGTATAAAAGAAATAAACTTGATTTGGCACATTATACTTGTAAAAAACAGAATATTTTACTTAGCAATAATCTTTGCCCTGCTTTTCTATTTTTCTTTAGGCTTATTTTTCCATCTTGAGGATTCTAAATTGGCTTGGCTCAGAGAAGGCTGAGCCAGAAGTCAGGAGACCTGGACTGGAGCCGGCCCACTGTTAACCCCTGAAGGTTGCAGCTCCCTGGCCTCCCCACTAGCCTGTTGGGGGCCATGGCTCCCAGGTCCCTCCCAGCAATGTGTTCACATCCTGCTCTACGGAGCCCAAGCAATGCTGAGACCCTAATTCCTCCCATGTTTAAAGTATCAAAGCTCGTTCGCTTCCTACTGTTAAAGAAATCCAAGGAATTGCCCTCCCCAGAAACATTGGGTAAACTGGACATAGTGACCTTCCAGGAATGGAGATGCACTCCTTGGGGGGGGGGATGCTTGGCAGCCCCCCAGGGCCCCTTCTGGAAACCGGAGCCTGCAGGCACAGTGCCATGCCAGGTTTCTGGTGATCCCCAGGGCACAGGAGGTAGAGCAGCGCAGCAGCCCAGGGCACCTGCACCCCACTTAGCTGTCAGCCACAGGCTGAGTAACCCTAGCAACTCATTTAACCCCTCTGTCTTTTAAAACCCCTGCCTCATTGGTTGTTATAAGAAATAAATTAAGCAAATGAATATTGGAAGGTTCTGCTTCAGCACAACAATGGAGGGCTTAGGGCAGTGGGCTGTGTGTTGTGTGTCTGGAATGGTTCCCTCTCTGACTCTCTAATGTATATCAGCAAGAGGTGCTACTACCAGGGCCTGGAGGTAGAGTTCTTAAGAAGAAGTTTCAGTGAACACTGGCCTATGTTGGGAACAGTGCTGGTGCACAGTGAGCTCTGCAGAGGGGCTCTGGGATAACCAGTGGCAGGTACTACAGACCAGGGGTCCTCCTTGCCTCTTCCCCACAGGCCGGGGGTGAGCCCCAGTGACTGCCTATCCCTCCCTGGGTGTCCTTGTAAGTCACTTATGTGACACTTGCTCTTTAAGTTGAGCTCCATTCAGAACAATATTCTGATGTCTGGCTCCCGGAGCGCAGGGTTAAAGAGAGTAAAGTAAACTCTGTGACAAAACCAAATCCTGCTACGTCTCCGACCCACTGAGGCAGATCCTGGAACAGCAGGGGCTGAAGGAAGACGTGTCAGTGGTGGGCCATTTGCCAAGCGGGTGGGCACAAGGCGCCCATCTCGCCACATGGGATTGTGACAAGAGAAAAGGAGAATAAAGGATGAAGGATCGACGGCCCAGACCCAGCCTCACTGCACCCCAGGCCCTTCCTCAGCGGTCAGGCACACACCCAGCCAGAGCTCCACCACACATCTGTACTGTTGCTTATGGTTATATTTTTCCAAAAGAAGACTTCTAATGATATGATGCAACAGAATATAATTTGAATTTGTAAAGACCTTTTAAAATCCCTTTCATATGAACAAAGTAAAAGGAAACTTTGCTGAGCCTTGAGGGATTGCAGCCAGCCCTGCTCCCTTTAGCAGTATCCATGCCGACAGCCAGCTGGCTCTTTATATGCAAATTATCCCCAAAACCTTTTAAATTAATGGCATTCCCTGGCAGTCCTAGTGCTTTTCATAGGTTCACTGTAAATTACTTGCTAGTAACATTCCAAAACACTTTTTCAACTTTTACTGTTCAGAATCAGAGTTTCTATAATCTCTGATTATTTTTCACGTTCTGAAGAAATCTTTGCTTATTCTTCTCTCATGGTTCCTCCTCAGTCACAAAGCATCACACAGAAATATTTTGTTCTACAGCTGAAAATACAGAGAGTGCCAAAAAATATATATGCATATTTAAAGAAAGGAAAAAAACATATTAAAATTGCAATACTCAGTATGTACCAATAACAGAAGATAAGTCACGCTGAGTCCCTCCTGTAACTGCAGAGTTGAAATCATCACTTGAGTATTACAAATTTAATACAGCTTTTTTCTTTCTTAAAATGCGTGTGTGTGTATACACACATATGTATATAGTTGGCACCTCTGTATAAACATTTACCCAATGGTCCCAGGCAGGTACCTACATTAAGACAGTCCCTACTGTCTTAAAGGGATCACTGAAGTGGCCACGTGCCAGGGAAGGTGGTGGCATAGCTACCTTAAGTAAATGCTTAAAAGGAGTTTGCTTGCCTCAGTTCTTCAATTAAGTAGCAAAAATACTGTGTGAAAGAACATTTGCTGTTTGGTGTTTCTACATGTCACTCACTTGCAATTAAGAATCTCTATTATACTTTTTTCCCCTTTCCTCTCTTAGAAATCAAGAACTTTTTCTGAAAATGGTAGTACAATGAAGTGGTTTAGTTAATTTAAAAAACAATCTTACCTGCTGTGGAAAGATGATACAGTGACAGCTGATTTAAGCTTGCCGAGGAAAGTCCAGAAAGAGTGAGGCTGTGCTGGCGTGCAGGAGCAGCCGGCCCCTCCGAGCAGGACGCCGGCAGACGTGGCCTCCCTGGCTCCGCAGCCCCCAGCTGCTTTATATGCACTTTCTCCTACAGGGAGCTGTCAATCACACATGCGAGGAAGCGCGTTTAATTCATTCCTTCGAAGCAATGACATAATTCCTTCTTCTGATCTCACCATTCGCTCTGAGTACCTGGTGCCTGAGTCCAAGCCCAGCCCCTCGAAGCTGGACACCCCGCCTCTGTGTCCACCCCAGACCCTGCCAGACTGGAATGGGAAGGAGCCAGATGGAGAGAGAAAAGGCAGGGACTCACTTTTCCTGTCTTCTTTCAGGAAATAAAATGCTATAAATAAAACTAACAAAATTGGCTAGAACTCCCCATTTTGCTTAAGAGAAAAAAATGCAAGTTCTATGCTGTAAACATGTTTCATATTACCCAATCTGATACTGGTCTTTTTAAGCCAAATAAGTGACAATCCTTAAGTTGTAAAATAAATCAATGGGTATAAATGATTAGTCTGGATATTGATGAAGTTATTATATTGAATGAATTAATTTTATCACGTGCAAAATATAATATTGAATCTGAAAGGAAACACCGAGGCAGTTGGGAGACTGACAGGAGGCCCTGCCACTCTGGGGGATGGATTTTAAACCAAACCTACTGCCTCCACTCACTGAGGACGCCTAGGACCAGCCCTACAGCTGGCTGCCACCTGGCCATCGCCACCTGATGCAACTTTCCCAGTGTGTGGAAGAACCATAGCAGATTCCTCAAGTCTCAGTTAGGGGGATGGCCTATCGCAAAGCTGGTTTGGAACGAGGTCTCCAGAGAGGCAGAAACGGTGGCAGCCCCACAGCTCACCCAAGGTCAGAGCCAGAGTGGACAGTGGACAAGGGGAGGAAAGAATGTCCTCAGGTCAGGGTGGACAGTGGATGGGGGAGGGGCCACATGTCCCCAGGTCAGGGTAGACTGTGGATGGGGGAGGGGCCGTATGTCCCCAGGCCAGGGTAGACTGTGGATGGGGGAGGGGCCGTATGTCCCCAGGTCAGGGCTGGGGGGAGAATGGCCCCATCCCTCAATTCAGGGTTGGTGGTAAGTTAATTAAATAACACTGAAGAGAGCACTTCAGCGGGGGATCCTGGCCTTCCCACTGCCTGGATTCAGGCTGGGTCTGGGTCCCAGAGGCAGAGGGATGGCAGCCTTGCCACCTCCAGCCCCAGAGTCTTCCGCAGGGGAATCAGGCCCAGGGCTGGTTCAGTCTTGAGCACCGATGCTTTTTCTTCTAGCAACTGTCTCCAGATCACAGGGAACAACATCAGTTGAGAGAGAAGAGGCCACTCTCAGAGTGTATGTGTTGTGTTTTTAAAGTAAGACATGTGGCTTCAGGTCAGCTAGTTGGCAACCAACTCATCATTTGGATTTAAAAGTCTGGAGTCAAGTTTATAAAATAGATTAGGGTGTTTTCTAAATTTCAAAAATAAAGTTACATGTAACCCTCTTTCCCTTAAAGAATTTTCAATGGATAGTTATCGAGTTGTCAGTTCATCTTTTCTCATCCATGGGTTGGGTTTTTCTGTGGTTGGAAAGTGCAGGTTTGGGTCTTGCACCCCACTGTGACGACAAAAGCTGCCTGTGTCCTCTTCTCACCAACTACTTATCCCTGTGACCTGCACTCAACAAGCAGAGCTCTAGGACCAAGAGCAGCACTGCTGGTGAGCATGTCTGGAACAGGAGAGGTGCAGCCCTCAGCACTGGGGGAAGAAGCCTCCACGTTCAGAAGGGCACCTGATCCCAGGCATGTGGGGATGGGAATTCTTCCTCCATGTCTTCCCGCTGGAGCATCAGGGAGGGCTTTTCAGAGGAGACAGAGGTAAGTGATTGTGACGTGGCAGGTGTACAATGGTCCAAGTGGGGAATGAGTGGCGGAGGAGGGGCAGTGAGCTGCTGGAGCACAGGTTGCTCAGACATGGGACAGTGTCCAGCCCAAGGCACTGGCAGCACACCCCACAGGCCCACAGGTTTGAGCGGCCAAAAGGGGTTCCTGGTGGGATGAAGTCGGACTTCATGGCCCATTGGCATATGGGCCACAGCGAGCGAGTGGGGAACTTTCTGGCCACCTGCCCTGCTGTGAACAAGGACAGCAGGGATACAATGATGGAACCACCAAGCAGGGCAGTGGCCGAAGCAGGAAAGCCAAGAGTGACTGCAGTGAAGTGTCGTGTGTGGAACGTCTAGAGGTGACAGCACAGGGCCTGAGGGCTGCACTGAGCCCACCCAGAACCTGGAAATGTGAACTTGCCGGAAATACTGTTGTCTTTGCAGATGAGATCACGTGGAGAAGAGGCCAAATTGGAGAGAGGATTCCTGCTACACCATTCGGTGAAGGGGCCAGAGACTGGAATGAAGCCCAGAGGGTCCCAAACAGTGACTAGTAACACCAGATGCTGCAGGGGACAGGGAAGTGGCCCCCAGCCCCATGAACCTTCAGAGGGAAACGGCTGGCCCCAGAGCTGCAGGACCAGGCTGCGGCACCAGACTGCGGCACCAGACTGCAGCACTGCCCTGTGGGAGCCCCAGGAAGCCAACACAGGCCCAGCTCAGAGGCAGTGCAGCTCAGACATGGCCACCACAGTAAAGTAGACACAGCATGAAGTCGTTCACACAGGTTTTGCTTCCTGTGAAAGTTATGTGAACTCTACACTGTAGTCTGGGAAGAGTGTAATAGCATCATGTCTAAAAAATAGTACATTGCTGAATCAACATTTTTTGCTAAAAGAAAATGCAAAGGACCAGCTGAGCCTCCAGCGAGTTGTGATCTGGCTGCTCCTGATGGAGGGTCCTGCCCAATGTTGACCAGGTGAGGGCTGCTGGAGGTGGGTGCAGCTGGGACAGGTCTCTTAAAAAAGAGACATCCATGGGGTCTCCCACCCAGACTGACTGTTCCCGCCATGAAACTTTCCTCTGCCAGCACTTTACCCACAGTCCGACTGCTTCAGAAATCAGAGTCAGTCCTCAAACACACTGTTGCTGCTGTCAGCTCAGCTTATCCAACATTCTGAATCCTTTCTTGTCGTTTCCACAGTGTTGACAGCATCTTCCCTAGGAGCTGACTCTATCTCTGGAAACCATTCTGCAGTGCAGGAAGCAGCTCCTCACCTGTTTAGACGCCATCACAAGGCAGCAGAGACTCGGCACAGTCTGGGTGGACGTGGCTGGTCACTGAATGCAGAGACTTGACACAGTCTTGGTGGACGTGGCTGGTCACTGAATGCAGAGACTCGGCACAGTCTTGGTGGATGTAGCTGGTCACTGAATGCAGAGATTCGGCACAGTTAGTGGGCATGGCTGGTCACTGAATGCAGAGACTCGGCACAGTCTTGGTGGACGTGGCTGGTCACTGACCACAGAGACTCGGCACAGTCTTGGTGGACGTGGCTGGTCACTGACCAAGGAGACTCGGCACAGTCTTGGTGGACATGGCTGGTCACTGACTGCAGAGACTCGGTCACTTATTCAGGCTCCACTTCTTATTCTAGTGCTGCTATTCCTAGCACATCTGCAGTTTATTTTCCATTGAGAGTTTGAGTCCCTGAACATCATGCATGAGGGCTGGAATCAACTTCTTCCAATCTCCTATTTGTGTTACTCTGACCTCCCATGAACTACCAATGTTCTTAATGCATCTGAATGGTGAGTCCTTCCCGAGGTTTTCAGTTGACTTCTCCCAGATCCATCAGAGGAATCATGGCATCTATAGCCTAGTGAATGCTTTTTGTAAATAATAAGACTTGAAAATCAGAATTACTCCCTGATCCCTGGGCTGCAGAATGGACGTTGAGTGACCAGGTATGGTAACAGCCCTAGTCTCCTCACACATCCCATCAGGGCTCTTGGTTGAGCGGGTGCATTTCCAGTGAGCAGCCATATATTGGAAGGGATCTTTTTTCTGAGCAATAGGCCACACTACAGACAGATAAGCTGTCGTCCAGGCTTTGTGATTACACTGTGGAGCACAGACAGAGCAGATTTAGCATAATTCTAAAGGGCCCAGGACTTTCAGAATGCTTAGTGGGCACTGGGTTCAACTTCAGTTACCAGTTTAAATCACTAGCCCCTAACAAGAGAGCCAGCCCACCCTTTGCAGCTGGGCACTGACTTCTCCTCTGCAGCTATGCAAGTCCTTGATGGCAGCTTCTTCCAGTAGAAAGCTGTTTGTGTACATTGAAAGTCTGCTGTTGAGTGAAGCCCCCTCCTCTGTGGTCTTAGCTGGGTCTTAAGATGACTCACTGCAGCCTCTCCATCAACACTCGTGGCCTCACCTTGCACTTTTCTGAGATGGCCTCTTTCCTTAATCCTCATGAACCAACATCTACAGCTTCAGAGCTTTGTTCTGCAGCTTCCTCCCCTCTCTCACTTGCTAGAATTAAAGAAAGTCAGGCCTGGCTCTGAATTTCGCCTTGGCTTAAGGGAACGTTGTGGCTGGTTTGTTCTTTTAAAATCCAGACCACTGAGCCTTTCTCCACGTCTGCAGGAAGGCTGTTTTTCTTATCATTGGTGTGCTCACTGGGGTGCACTTTCACTTTCCTTCAAGAACTTTCCCTCTGCATTCATAGTGTGGCTGCTTGGCACAGAGGCCTGACTTGGCCTGTCTTGTCTGTAGACACGCCTCCCTCTCCAGATTGACTAAACTGTTTCTAGCTTTGAATCTACAGTGAGAGCCATGACCCTTCCTTTCACATGAGACCACTGTAGGGCTATTACGATTGATTGTCCTAATTTCAATGTTGTCATCACAGGGAAAAGGGAGGCCTGAAGAGGGGGAGAGAGATGGGAACAGCTGACTGAACAAAGTGGTCAGAATACGTAATCATTGTCCAAGTTCACCATTTCTTACGGGCACAGTTCGTGGTGTCCCAAAACAAGTATGATAGTGACATCAGAGATCACTCATCCCAGGTTACCCCAGAGCCATATAAGTGATGACAAAGTTTGAAGTGTTACAAGGATTTCCAAAATGTTACACAGAGAACCAGGTGAGCACCTGCTCGGTGCAGAACTGTCACAAACCTTCAAATGTGGAAACTGCACTATCTGCAACACACATGAAGGCAGGTGCAATGAGAC